CTTGGGTTTCTCTGGATAGATACCCAAGAGTGGAATTGCTGGGTCATACGGTAGTTCCATTTCCAGTTTTTTGAGATATCTCCATACTGATTTCCATAATGGCTGCACCAATCTGCAGTCCCACCAACAACAGTGCACCAGGGTTCCCTTTTCTCCACAGCCTCGCCAGCAGGATATTTGTTTTTAATGGGCTTCTCCCTCCAACTATACTTTCTCTTATTTCTTTTTTAATTCAATTTCTGTTATGGAGCTAAGTGTACTGAGCACCTTCCATGTGCCAGCACTATGCTAGACCCTCACCATAGGCTGTCTCACTGAATCCACACAATAACTCTGTGGGGTCAGTATCATTGTCATCGTCATTTACAGATGGAGCAACTGAGCCCAGAGAGGTTAAGACACTTGCCCTGGGCCACACAGCTGGATGTGGCAGAGCTGGGATCTAGACCCAGGTGATCTAATTTCCAGGGCTTTGTTCTTAGCCCCAAGCTAAACTGTCCTCAAGCCTCGATTCTAGACTCTTTGCCCTTCTTTACACCCAATCCCTCTGGTACTGTTTCACCTGATTTTAGCTGCTGCCTGAGTTAGTGATTCCTGAACTCCAGCCTAGCTCTCCATCTGCAGCCTCAAGAGTATTTCCTCTTGGAAATTTCCAGGGACCGGAAGACAGTGAATCAGCCCCAACAGCACCACCCACCCAATTCTTGTTCTTCACACCACCCAACCTCACACACCCTCCTCTGGGTTTATTTTCCCTTTCCAAACCCTCACAAGCCTGCTGTTTAAATTGAGTTAATCTGCCTTTTTTCTCTCACATAACTAGTCATTGAAGGACCTGATATTCAATTCAAGTGCTTATTCAGTCAACAGATATTTATTGAGCATCTACTATGTGCGACTCACCATGCAAGGTGCAGTGAGAATGCAAGGAAGAATCAGGCCAGCCCCTGCACTCAAGGAAGCGCTGAGATGTGCATAGTAACTTATAGTGCAGCAAACATGAATCGAATGCCCTTTGGGTGCCAAAAAACAGAGAAATACCTGCTAATTGTTCTGGCTCAGATCAGGAAAGAAAATAACACTTGACATTTGTCTGTTTTATTTACTTAAAAAAATCACTTAACTATTAATACATGTCAGACACTGTACATATTAACTCATTAAATCCTCATAATGATTCTGTGAGATAGGTGGTGTTATGCCCGTTTTGCAGATGGGGCCACTGAGGCCCACAGAGATTACTGACCCAAGGTCACACAGCTCATAAGTGATGGAGCTGGAATCTGTGCCCTAAGTTCTATGATTTACTGCCTCTTGATGTAAGTGGGGATGATAATAGTGTCTCACTGGAAGGTTGCTCTGACATCGGGTCTCAAGCTACCAGCAATGAGCCACGTGACCACACAAGTAAAGACGAAGGAGGGAGAGATGACCTTCGGAGGCTGTGCAGGAAGGATGCTATTTGAACTTGGCCTGGCAGAGAATGGGCAGGATCTGCACTTGGGTTGGGGAGATCTGGAAGGAGGTTATCATCAAGGGATTCTCTGAGATCAAAAGAATAGGCCTACAGGTACCACGTTATAATGTTGTACATCTGAAGCTTATATAATGTTATTAACCAATGTTACCTCCATAAAAAGAAAAATATGTATTTGTTACTACAGTTATATACACATGTATAAAAAGAGAGAGAGAGAGAATAGGAGTGTAGAGCTGAGATTGTGTAAGAGAAAGCCGGAGAGCGAGTTGGAAGGTGGGGTAGGGGTTGAGTGTGGAGAGGGGTGTGCAGGAGAAGGAACCCTTGGCGGGCTTTGTGTGACAGCGTGACAGGATGAAAGAAAGCACGGTGTTAGGCGGGTCCATCTGCTGGTGCCGAACTCAGTGAGTTAGAACAGGGAGAATACGAAAAGGAGAGGGGGCAGGTTGGGAAGTGTTTTCAGGCAAGAGCCAGTCAAGAAAACAAAGTGAATTTCAACAGAGAAATTTTCGTTCGTGGAATTGGCTCAACTGGTATTAGAGACCCAAAAAAGCTAGAAGGGAACATTGAGATGACATGGAACTGGTAGATGGAAATGGGGTTGCTGGAAGCTTGAAGAAGAACCCCACAGAGCAGGATCCAGACCTCTGAGGAGGGGGTGCTGCCCGGCTCGGTGGTACCTCGGGAATTCAGTCACCCGCATGGGAGGCCACCCCATGCCACAGATCTTTAGGACGCACTGCCCACTAGCAGGGAGCTCAGCCCCGTGTTCAGGGAAAGACATGACCCAACCGATTCCAGACCATCCTGAGGGTCTGTGTCTTGAGACCACTCCTGGTACCAAGTGCTGCAGACGTCAGGGTCCAGGCAAAAGGCAGACGCTGCACTAGGTGTTTCGACAGTAAGGATTTAGTGCGGGATGTTATTCGACAGGTATTGAGGGCTGGAAAGACGAAAGGGGACAGCAGGGCAGCACAGAGAGTAACTGCAGGAAGGAGCCTTGACCCAGGTCTTGGGAACAGGGCAGGGGGTGGGTCCTCAGGACCTCATAGTTCAGGAGGGCCCTGGGGAGCTGACAGGCAGACCTCTGAGAAGGAGGCACTGCCCGCTGGTACTGGTGTCTGTGAGGGGGCGTAATAAGGCCAGTCTGGGAGTGCAAAACAAAACAAAAACTGGAGGCAGCACCCAACTAGGCTGCTGCTGGGAGACTCAACAAGCAAATGGGAAGGAGCAAGTCCGTCTCCCCTTCCCTCCCTCCAGTCTTTTCTAGGGCTCTCATTGGCAGAGCCTGACAGGAAGCCCCTGGCAGAGGGGAAATGTGTTTGCAGCGTCCCAGCCTCCGCATCACAAGGCAGGGCCCGGATGGGTAGGTTAGGGGCTGCGACAGAAGCCCAGGTATGAGGTAACTAGGGCAGTGTCAGCAGTGACAGCCAAGGACACGTGGGCTGGAGACACGGCAAAGGATCTGAGGAATGGGACCAACTGGACATGGGAGGAAGGGGCAGCGTCAGGGGTGACTGGGGGGGACGTTGGGACACTGAGAACGAGTGGTGACATCATGAACAGAACAAGTGTGACGGGTGGGACTGTCAGGACCCCGGGCCCGACAAGAGCCGGGCTGTAGACACACTGACATTGGGTGAAGGCCCGTCATTACAGGGAAACATCCACAGGTTGGTGGAGATACAGACAAGGCTTGGGAGAGACATCCTGGCCCGAGAGGTGACAGTCAAGGGAAAGAGAGTAGATGGGAGCAGAGGACCAAGGACAGATGCACAGGGGTGCCCACGTTTGGGAGGCAGCGTGGCAGGAGAACCAGGCCAGTGCAGGGTCACCGGGCCACAGGGCCACAGAGCTCAGGAAGGAGGGGACCACATCTGACTCACTCGTCCTTCAGAGATGTCAAGGAGCATGAGAACGGAGAAAAGACCATGGGGCTCAGCGATTCCAAGGTCACGGGTGAGCTTGCACTGTGCCTTTGCAGACGGCACCCTCTTCTGTCAAGCAGTGCCCCTCACTGCCATCACCCTCAGGCTCAGCCTGGCCCCTGGAAAGTCCGCCCACTGATGAAACCACTCGTGAATTCTTGCCTCGATGCACCCTAAGACACTTGGGTTCTCAGCTTGTGCTATTTGAATCTGCACTAGTCATCTTGTTGCTGTGCAAATGTGTTTATCATTTCTTTCCCGTCCCTCTGCTCGGATTCCTCCTCAGCCGACACAGGAGGTTTCCCTAAGTGTGGGTGACTGACTGGCAGTCGGAAGAAAGATTTATGAAATTAACCAGAACAAATCTGTGGGGAATCTCACAAGCAGGATGAGCCAAATTCAACTGGATTCAGAAGCCAAATTGGAGTTCGGGAGGGTGGATGCGGCCATAACACAAGGTGGAGAGTGATATGCTCTCTGTGCTGGGACGGGTGGGTACCCGGCCACAGTCCAGCCTGTGGTTGCTCACAGTGTCGTGGGAGGCTGCGGGGATGAGGGCCTGTAGGGACAGGGTTACAAATGGTCAGAAGGGTCCCTGAGCTCTAGAAGTGGGGTCTGGCAGAGAGAGAGTGATGTTGGAATCCTAGGGAGGTTACCCAGCTTCTCTGAGCCTCAGTCTCTTCATCTGTTAAGTGAGGTTACTGATAGTCCCCGTGGGGGGCAGGGCGGCTGGGGCAGGAAGGGAATGAATGGGGTTGTATGCATGGGTTCAGGAGGGGGGCTCCCCACATATTGGTTCCTTGTAAGAAATGGTGGCAAATAGAAAAGCAGGACCCGAATAACTCACTCAAACCTGGAGGAATTAACATGACACGAAATGCCACGAGTAGTCACATCATTGTCTCAGAAGAGAACATTATAGGTGGGAAAAGTCAAAACTGAAAAGTGAACCGAGCAGCAGGCTATTGAGAAGTCAAGTAAAGAGAAATGTTGAAGCTGACTGTAAACTACAGAGAGAAGGTGAAGAGACCACCAGAGGGTGCCAACTAGGGCCGTGAGTGCACTGGCGATCTTGCTAAAGGTCAAGGGGGCGAGGAAGCAGAAAACAGGAGTTCTGTCGGGGGGCTGGGTATGGAAAATCCGTAAGACTCAAGGTGGAGAAGGTCTTGGCAAATGAAAACATCGTGGCATCAAAGGAGGCCAAGCAGAGCCATCGGTGGGGAGGGGCACAGGGACAATTAAGGGACAACAGAGCCACCAACACCCTCGGGGGCACAGGAGGAACTCCAGATTAAAGTCCCCAGCAGCCTTATGAAAGGTCCAGTTCTGAGACTGAAACTGACATAAACCTTTAGTTTCAAGGTACCAATTCACGGGGCTATCTAAAGGAAAGCCGGGAGATAAACCCAGTAGGTGTGAGACAGCTCGGAGAAAACAGCTGCTGTTGCAAATAGACTTGGGCCCTGGAAGCTGGATCTGCAGGGGTCAGAAGTGGGCACACCAAGGTGGAGAGGCAATGTGAGTTCAGCACTTGCAAGTGGATTTCAGGTTGGCGAGTGTAGCGTCTTTTTGTTTCCCATAAATGCAGAAAGCCCTCCCAACTCCCCCCGTCCCCCCGCCCCAAAAAAAGTATTCAGGGTCCTAAACTCAAACTGGTTCCGTCAGAAAGCTGAGCCCATCAATAGTCTGCGACCGGTCACACCTCTTTTACTTTCAAGACTTCAAAGTAAATTCCAGTTTGAAAGTGACAGCTTTTCCCATGGGGTGTGTTTCAGTGGAAGAGCGTCAGTTCTATTTCCAGTGCTCCAAAGCCCTCCTTAAGTTCTGTTACCTTCTGGGTCAGCTCTCTTGGATGAAAGCAGTAGTCTTGAAGAAATGTGACTCTGGCCATCGTGGGTTTTGAAGATTGGTCTTCATAGACCCGTTGCCCTGCCATTGACCTCAGAGCAAGTGCCCATGAGAATTGAGTGCGTTTTCCCTGAAAACTCATTGACGTTTTTAGGTTTCTAGACGAGCGTTATGGAGTGGGAGGGTGTCGAGTCGCATTAGGGTGGAAGTCATGCTTTGCCTCTCCTCTGGCCCCACAGGAGACCCAGCCGTGGGCAAGACCGCCCTGGCACAGATCTTTCGCAGTGACGGAGCCCATTTCCAGAAGAACTACACCCTGGTGAGATGTGGGAATTGTAGGCCTGGCCGAGGCGTGAAGAGCAGTGATCAGACAACCCTGAGGGAGTGACTTTCTAAAATGCCTTAAGATGCCCCAAGAAGTCTGACGAGGGGCTGCTTGAATGGCGGCCATGTGGAAATTGTTTATCCACAAGCCAGAGGCGTGGAGCTGTCTGCAGAACAGACAGGCTGATAGTCGACTTGGTCACCACGTACAGTTCACTCGTGGGCAGGGGATTGGGTGAGTCTGAGACTAGTGGGCCCTCTCCGATTTCTGCACCAAAAGTAAGTCGAGGACACAAACAGTTAAGCTGGGGATATGCCTCTCAGGCAATAGGTGCTCGTAACATGCCCCTTGGGGCCCTCTGACCAAAAGTTCTTGGTTTTCCTCGGCAGACAACAGGGGTGGATTTGGTGGTGAAGACGGTGCCAGTCCCTGACACGGGAGACAGTGTGGTAAGTGACAGCCTTGACCCGAGGGAGCTCCGCGCTCCTCCAGCGGGGCCCAGGATCTCCGTGGTCACCGTGACCCTCCCTATGAGACAGTGCAAGGACTTGACCTAGCCTCGTCTGGGCATTTGGGAGGAATCGGGGAACATGGGAGGCATTCCAGGGAGCGGGGGAAGAAGAGGAAGTGAGGAAGGCTGGAATACGGGCCTTGTCCTCACAGATCTCATCTATCAAAGTTCTTAACCCGGGTCCCTCTCTGGGAATCCACGACTCTCAAACTTGAATTGAAAGACGTTGTGTTTGTATGTACTTTCCTGGGAAGAAGGTTCAAGAATCACCAGATTCCTAAGGAGGTCCATGAGTCCCAAACAGTTTTAAGTGCTCCCGATGCAATGCGAAGGGATCAAAGGGAGCGCACAGCTAACCAGTGTGCCACGCAGGATGGCACCGATGTTCAGACAGCGTGTGCCCGGGGTCAGAAGCCAGCCAGGGGACACCCAGTGCCCAGAGGGAGCTTGAGGGGGAAATTAGGAGGGACTTCCTCCGGGGCAGCACTGGGGAGGGGCTGTCCCCCGGGCTGGCTGAGGTTTGCACTGCGGCAGGACGGGTCATCGTGCGTCCTCTGTCACAATCACACTGCAGCCATCCATACCACCGGACGACGACAGACTGTCCCACTATATACTCCCTCCCAGACCTGCTCAGCGACCTCCTTTAAAAAGAATGGTTTTAAGAGTTGAAAATCAATTTGGTTAACAAGTGCAGAGTGACCTTTTGGAAACCAGAGCACTTGCCAGCCTGTTTAGCATTCTGTTCCGCCAGGTGGGGCGGCAGCTTGTTCCTGGTGTTTCTGCACTTGAGGTTAAGAGAGGTGAGAGCACACAGAAAGTGCTGGCTGGTTGGGGACGCCGTGGTGCGGCCTCGCCAAGATCCCTGAGGTCCTTCCTCGTCCTGTGGTCTTCCTCGGGCCTTCGGGAAGAGGCAGAGCCTGGGTGAATGAATGTGTGTGTGCCTATGCCCATGCCTGCACCTCGCCATGAAGCCGGCTCTGCCGTGAGCTGACACTAATAGTAAAACACGCCTTCTGATTCTAGGAACTCTTCATTTTCGACTCTGCCGGCAAGGAGCTGTTTTCTGAAATGTTGGATAAACTGGCAAGTAGCGAGCAGTCTTTTTCCTAACCACCACCTCCACCTCCCACCAAAGGGTTTGCCCCTCACCATGTTCTCACAGGAATCTCACCGCACCAGGTGCCTACTGTGCGCCCGGCAAGAGGGACGATGCGCCTGGGCGGGTCAGGGCCGCGAGCAGCTCACACCCTGACTCCGCCCCAGCTCCAGCTCCATCCTAGGACCGTCCTGGTCCCTCACTGAGGCCGGGAGAAAGGAGGTGTCTCCCGCATGCACATAGGGGAGGACAGTGTGGTTCTAGTGAGAGTTCTTGAGTTAGTCTGTGGAACGAAGGTGTGAGGAAAGCATCCGTGCAGTTCACACTCCTTCTGTCCTGAATGCCTCCGGGAGCCAGCGTGGTCGTGGGGGTAGGGAGGAGAGCCCTCCAGAGCGATTCTGGACTGACCTTCCAGGGACAGCTGGAAGGAAAAGGATTCTCCCTCACACCCTCGAAGGTTATGACACCCCAGAAACAAACCAGGCTCTCACTGCGCAGGGCGGGGGTCTCTAGAGACCAAGGCATGGCTAAGAGCCACACGCACCAGGGTGCGCAGCACAGCTGAGCGGGACTCTCCGGTGCCCCCATGCCAGGCAGCAGGATGTCCCAGGACCCTAAGCAGCCCCTGAAGGTGACAGCCCTTGAGAGCACAGCCCCGGTTCTTCATTGGGACAGCAAGCCCTGTCCGGTTGCCGGTCTGGTTTGGATGAGGGCTGGTACACTGCAGGAGAATAGAAAGCACCCTGTGCATTTTGAAAAGCCAGCCCTTATTAGGAGATGCAAGCAAACAAGCGTTCAGTGACTGGCTGATGAAAGAAGGGATGCTGTTTTAGGCCTGCAGAGCAGAAAGGCATACCAACTTGCATAATAGTGAGCCCTCGGTAGGTAAGAACGAGTGGAAGCATGAATTCATGAGACCGGTGGCGGGCAAACGCATTTCCGGGGGTGAGAAAAGCCACAGTCCTACCTTTGTGTTGAAAGCATTTCTGACCTGGGCAAGTCAGTCCCCCTACTCCGGCTACACAGTAGGGACATCCAGACCAGTCCTGCAAAGTTGGGAGGTTTCACGATGATGCACAGGGAGCGCTCAGCAGACAGCCTGGCACGGATGTGAGCTCCCGCCCGCGCCATCGTCACAGCACCTGCCCCAGCGTCCAGCCCAACCCTCCATTCATGCCTCTGGGTGAACTGCTTTCTTCTGTGGGCGTGGCTGTTTTATGACTCACACCTGCCTTACGGTTTTTCATTTCTCTCCACTCATGTGCCCCTTCCCTTGAAAGACCCAGTTTCCTCCCAGCCTAGAAGTCACTTTCACTGTCACTGACATGTGCTCATCCTGTCCCCCTTGCACAGTGGGAGAGTCCCAACGCCTTGTGTCTGGTCTATGATGTGACCAATGAGCAGTCCTTCAACAACTGTAGCAGGTGGCTGGAGAAGGCTCGGTCACAGGTTCCAGGCTCCTCCCTCCCAGGTAGGAGCTGCAGGCATCCGGGTTTGCCAGCAGCACCTCTGTCCTTCAAGTTCAAGAGCACAAGGTCATTGCAGAGCTGGCTGTGGGTGCAAAACGGGTGCCCTGGGTATTGGGCGTGATGGTCTGGCTTGTACACAGAAGTCTCTGAGTTACCACACACCCCTGAGTCTGTAAAACGGGCATGATGAGATCCACCTTGCTGGGCCGTGGGGAGACTCAAGGTAACAAGGGGGGCGGTGCTGTAACAGGAATGGGAGCTTGTTTCCGGGAAGCTTGCCCCAGGGAAGAAGTGCTCATTTTCTCCTGTGAGACACAAGTAAACATACAACTCCTGTTGTCACTTCTGAGTGCTTTAGATCAGTTTATTTTTCTTCCCTGTGTGAGATCAACAAATTCTCCTCATTACAGACCAGGAAAAACGATCTCCAGAGACAGGCTCAAAAATTAGCTGCAGCCGATGCAGCTGGGGACAGAAAGAAATTACCTCTGAATCCCTGACTCGGACCCCAGTCCTTAGATTAGTATTAATGACCATTTTTAAAGTTTGCTCCATGAGCTAGGAATTACGCAAATGCTCACATAAATTTGGCCCTTGCCTTCACGGCACTTGCAGCCTCAAGGAGACAAGGCAGACAGATACACAGGAAGCCTAGAAGGGCCGAGCAAACGCTGGGTGTGAAAAGCAAAGCCCTCCTGCTTGGCTGCAGCCCCCAGGCCAACACCGGTGTCTTACTCGTTCAGTGTGCTTGTTCTCATCTCTCTCCAGCTGGCCTCCCAGACCGCCAGTTCAGTGCGATGCTTTGGTTATTTCTTTTGGGCAGGTGTGTTAGTGGGGAACAAGACAGACCTGGCCGGCAGACGAGTGGTGGAATCGGCTCAGGCCCAGGCGTGGGCGCTAAGCCAAGGCCTGGAATGTTGGGAAATATCTGTGGTGAGTCTTCCCCGCTTGCTCCGTAGCTGAGTCTGGAGCGGGCCACTGCTGGGAGCGGTTTTTCACATGACCTCATGTGCATCGCGCTGTTATTCTGTCATACACAGAGTCGAATTTGAAACTGATGTTTTACATGCTTAGCCCAAGATCTTTTCTCAGTATAGTGAGAGTCACTCGTGCGTTTCCATGAAGCAGATCACCCAGCCAGCTCCGGGAAAAGTTGTACCTCGATTAGTGAGAAATACAAGTATATCGTGTTCGATTACAGTGACCCTTGATATTGGCATGAGATATTATGGATTAGGTGTTGTTGGAACATTACTTCATAGACCCTCATGATCAGTCCCGTCAACCAGGAGCTGGCCCCACAGTCCCCACTCCCATGCTGAGGTGAAGTGACTTGCCCAAGGTCACGTGGCTGGTAGAGGGTTGGGCCAGGACTAGGGTCCATAGCTTCTGATTCCATCAGTGTTCCCTGTCCCACCTTGCTGCAGCCCTGGGGTGACCACGGTGAGGGGCAGAACTACCCCGTGGGCCCCTCAGTCTGTTACTTAACTTATGGGGTCCTCAGGTCCCTTGCCTGTAAAGCGGGGATAATCACACACATCCCTCATTGAGTAATAGATATGAAAATTAAGTCAGATGGTGAATATAAAAACACTTAACACAAAGTCTGGTGCATAGTAAACACTCAATAAATGGTAGCTTTTTTTAAGTATAAATATTTCTCCCCAGTAATCTTATTTATACTGTCATTACTAAATCCTTGCGTGCATAGGTTGTACAAAGATAAATGTCACTCTTGCCTCGTGCAATTATCACAAATTCTAAATTAGTGAAGTTCAAATTAGCACGCTTTTATCATACAGAGAGCTTCGCATCTTTTACGCAGCACACCTTTGAACAAAGCAGTAAGCCATACTACCCACAGCAAACAATATGTTAGTGTCCTCCCTTTCACCATTCACATTTGTGAAATTGCCTCCTCACCCCAATATCCCATATTCCCCAGAACTCTGGATGGAACTCAAAACTTAACACCCACCCCAACAATTAGTCATCAAAGGCCACTGGGTTGCGTGTTTCAACTCCGTTTGGGTGTTCGTAGCTACACTGTTGAAATGGGTGGGTATAAATTGTGCTTGCAGAGGCTGCAGTTAAGCACTTGGTATTAACTGTGCCAGTTAACTAGTCCCCCCTGAGTTGATGCTAACAGAAGCACCACTGGCAGCTCGGTTAAGAAGCTGTAATTAAAAAGGAAATATAACCAAATGCTGTTGGAGACACAGCCGAGTCTTGACACCAAGCCCATATCTTTTCTTACTGAATGCAGCAGCAATCGTCTCGCAGACCTAAAGGTGGCACCTACACGGTTGCTTGACTTTCTTTTCTTATTTTTAAGTCCACCCCCAGAAGTTACCCGTCTTAAAACTGAAAGCTTGTGCCCTTTGACCACCTTCACGCCTTCTCCGTCCCCCACCCCCAGTCCCTGGCAACTACCAGTCCACTCTCTGTTTCTATGAGTTCGTTTTTTTTAGATTCCACATATAAATTAGGTCATATGGTATGTGTCCCTCTATGTCTGATTTATTTCACTTAGCATAATGCCCACAAGGTTCATCCATGTTGTCACAGATGGCAGGGTTTCTTTTTTTATGGGTGAATAATATTTCATCATATATATATATATATATACACACACACACACACACACACACACACACACACACACCACATCTTTATCCATTCATCCATCGATGGACACTTAGGTTGTTTCCAGGTCTTAGCTACCGTAAATAATGCTGCAGCGAACGTGGGTGTGCAGATACCTTTTCAAGCTAGTGGTCTCATTTCCTTTTGATTAATGAAAGAAGTGGGATTGCTGGATCATATGGCAGCTCTATTTTTAATTTTTTGAGGAACCTCCATACTGTTTTCCAACGTGGCTGCACCAATTTACACTCCCACCAACAGTGCACGAGGGTTCCCTTTTCTCCACACCCTCCAACACTTATTTCTTGTCTTGTTGATAGTAGCCATTCTGACAGGTGTGAGGTGATAGCTCACTGTGGTTTTGATCTGCATTTCCCTGGTGATGAGTGATGTTGAACACCTTTTCGTATACCTGTTGGCCACTTGAATATTTTCTTTGAAGAAAATGTCTACTCCCATCCTTTGCCCATTTTTATCAGATTATTTGTGTTTTTGCCATTGAGTTTTATCAGTGATATATTTTGAATATTAACCCCTTAGCAGATGTGTGGTTTGCACATATTTTCTCCCCTTCCATCGGTTTCTTTTTCATTTTGTTGATCATTTCTTCTGCTGCACATAAGCTTTTTAGTTTGATTTAGTCCTACTTGTTGATTTTTGCTTTTGTTGCTTATGCTTTTACTGTCGTATCCATAAAATCATTGCCAAGATCAATGTCAAGGAGCTTTTTCCCAACATTTTCTTCTAGGAGTTTTACGGTTTCAGGTCTTAAGTTCAAGTCTTTCATCCATTTTGAGTTAATTTTTGGGACTGGTATAAAATAGGGGTCGAGTTTTATTCTTTTTGCATGTGAGTATCCTGTTTTCTCAACACCCTTTATTGAAGAGACCGTCTTTTCCCCATTGAGTATTCTCTGTTCTCTTGTCAAGTATCAATTGGCCATGTATGCCAGGGTTTATTTCTGGTCTCTCGGCTCTGTTCCATTGGTCTTGGTGTCTGTTTTGATGCCAGCACCATCCTGTTTCCATTACTCCAGCTTTGTAATATGGTTTGAATCAGGAAGTGTGGTGCCTCCATCTTTGTTCTTCTTTTTCAGGATTGCTTTGGCGCTTGGGGTCTTTCTTAATGTGGTTCCTCTTTGACTTTGTAACACCCTTCGATATGACATTTTCAAACCAAAAAATTAAAAAGAATTTATTTGAACAGAGCTTAAAAATTTTTAAAAACATTGCCCATCACTGTAAGAAGTTGGACAGTATTAAATACAAGCGAGTTCAAGAAAGGCCCACAAGGGCGGCGGCACTCCTTGCAGGAAGATGAGGGAAAGGGCACTGATATTTGCTGAGCACCTACTGCGTGCCAGCTGTTTTGCGCCCATTATCTGTTGACTCTTCTCTACCAGCCTTCCCAGGCAGCCACTCCTGACCCCGTTTTACATGATGAACAGATGCAGAAAGGTTGTGTAGCTCTCCCTGGTTGTCTAGCTCAGGAGCGGCAGAGCCAGGACTAGAAAGCAGGCCAGTCCAGCTTGTGCACCGGGGCCTTCGAGCAGGGGCTTTGGCCTTCCACAGAGCTGACCTTGGGACTCTCGGGGACAGGCTGCCAGGCCAGATTGTGTGCTCGTCTCAGCCTGCCTAAGGATCCCTCACGGGAAGCCAACCTACTCTATAGATTGTCAGCGAGATTAGTCATTTAACAAAAGGATTCCTGTCATTGGCAAGCCCTCCTAACGCATTTGGAAAATGATTCTGTTTACATCTGCCATTTCGGGAGTGCTCCAGGGTGTATACTGAAGGGCTCGCCTCCACTGAATTCTTTCCTTCTCAAGTTGCGTTCTCCCAAGATCTTGCTTTCGAGAGCTTTGAATCCATTTAGAGATCGTTGTGTGTGGGCTTCGTAGGCCTCCTTCTCTTTCCAGGCAGTACTTAGCTGTACTTTCAACCAATCTAACGTTTTACTCTCTGACATTGGCGTTGCCTAGGACATTATGCTCTGCACAACCAAAGGAGCCTTGCAGATATAACTGAGTGATTTCTCTCACTTTGTCCGACTGGACAGCGTCCCTGTCCTTAGCAGTCACGAGCTCATTCGGCTACACACGGTCCTGAGCGCTCTTAGTACTGCAACCTCTGTCTCTCCTCGAGGCCACCTTATTTCCTCCATCTTAGAGTTTGGCTTGCTGGAAAATCCAGGTAGCTTTCTCCACCGGAACTGGTTTCCTTTGCGCATGGCAGAGTGGTGAGGCTGCTCTTCTCAAATTGGGGGATCTGAGTTCTGGGCTGGGCTGTGCACGAAGCAGCTGGGCCATTGCACCCCCGGGGCCCCAGACTGCTGTCTGTAAAACACAGGCATTGAGCTTGATGACTTTGTAACATTCTTCGGTTTGGAAATTCTTCCATTTATTGGGGATGGTTCATTGCCTCTTATCAAGGCTGCACTCTTGCCAGCTGCCAAGGATTGTTTGAAAACGGGTTCTTGTGCATTCATAGCTTGAGCTACTGTCTCAAAAGTAGTGAGTTCTTTCTTATACCAACTTCTTCCTTAAAAAAAAATTAAAAATATATTCACACAGGGCAGCCACTATGAAAAACAGTAGGGAGATTCCTCAAAAAATTAAAAATAGAACTACCTTATGACCCGGCAGTTCCACTTCTGCATATTTATCTGAAGAAAACAAAAACACTACGTCAAAAAGATCTCTGCACTTCCTCCAAGTTCATTTCAGCATTTACAATAGCCAAGACGTGGAATCAACGTAAGTGTCCATCGATGGATGAATGGATACAGAAATTGTGGTGTATATATTAATATATATATGCAATGGAATATTATCCAGCCACAAAAAGAAGGAAATCCTGCCATTTGCAGGATGAACCAAGATGAACCTGGAGGGCATCACGCTAAGTGAAGTCAGACAGAGAAAGCCAAATACCGTATGATTGCTCTAATATGTGAATCTTTAAACAAAACAAGCTCATAGATATCAAGAACATATTGGTGGTGCCAGAGGTGAGGGTGGCGTATGGGTGAACTGTCTTGTCTTGTTTTTTTTCTTTAGTTGAATTTTAACAAATGTTAATACATGTGTGCACACAGAGAGTGAGAGAAAGTCCTTTGGGCACCTTTAGTCACAAAAGTATTATTTCATTTGTTACAATGCACAGTCCTGGGTGACTGTCAAAATTCCTAACTTGATTTAAAGTCAGCGCCTTCCCCGGGCCTGCTGTGGGAAGCAGCGCCCGGCTGGCAGCTTCTGTGTTTCTGCATCTGTGCTTTTCCCCCAGCTCAGCTCACAGCCTGCGGGGGCAGCGGGGGGTGGGGGGCCAGATACAGAGAGAGGGGCACGGGGACTTTGGTGAGACCCGCTGTGGCCACTCTGGGCCTGCCAGGGTTCTCAGGCTGACTCTTGATGAGCACTTCAGAGGTGCCCCCTTCTGCCCCCATCAGTGGAGCTCTCGCACCTGCAGTCTCCTTCTGACAGGTGATACCTCCTCGCCCCTCCTGCAGTCGTGGTTCTGGCCGGTTCCTATCCATCTGTTCTTGTTGGGACCCATTACCCTCCTGGAGGCTGTGCCCGCAGCCCCTTTAAGACAGCTCCGGGCTGGCGCTTTTGTTTGGCCCGCCCGCCGCTGGTCCAGGGAAGTGCAGCTGCAGCCTTAGTTTGACAGCGGAGGCAGTGCTGCGGTCCCCAGTGCCGCCCTCTCCTGGCTTGGCCACCAACACAGCCAGCCCCCGTCTTACCTGGACTCTTCCCAGGCCTGCTCCAGCACCGTCCTGAGCCCCCAGGCCTCAGGCTTTCTCCTGGAACCTCCCACTGAGCTGGAGGGAGGGAGAGGTGCCCGTCCTGGAGGGAAATGCCACGGCACAACCCTGACCTTGAGGTGAGGGTAGGCCCGTCCTGTCTCGTCCTCCCTCAAGAGTGTGAGGGCCCTTGCTGTCTGTTAATTTGCTTTGGCCTCTGGGGTCTCAGTCAAAACTAAGCAAGAAAGAAGTCTCCTGTTAACATCCTGTCACACACACAGTGAGCGGCTAAAAGGACAGGCTCCGTTTCTGCAGATCTAGGCTCAGACCCAGCTCTACCCCTGACAAGTGTGTGGCTTTGGGCAAATTACCTTAATATCTCCGAGTCTCAGTTTTGTTTCTGGTGAAATGGGCATAATGATAGTAGCCTCCCCGAATAGTGTGGCGGTGAAATGACGCAATGTGTGTGGCACCTGACAGGAGATAAGAGTGGCTGGGTGCTGGCTCTGATGATGACACACATAACACAACCGGCTTCTTGTCTCTACAGAAGGAGATGGAAAACTGTGAGGCCCCCTTCCACTGTGTGGCCAAGCAGCTCCACCAGCTGTACCGGGAGAAGGTGGAGGTTTTCTATGCACTGGTGTGAGGGGCTGGGGTGCTGCGGCACCTGGCAGTGGGCCCCGTCTCCTTGGAAGACGAGAGGACATGGAGTTGCCTCGGCACTCCCACTGTATCATGACAGCTTTCAATAAAGTGAGGAGGAAACGTAGAAGCAGCAGCTCCTTCCGTTCTCGGCCCTGGGCAGCCCTGGTTCCAGTTTGCACTTGGGCCGTCAGTTCCAGAGCAGCCCTGGGAGCCAGGCTGGGAACCTTGGTGGCCCTGCCTCGTGTGGAGGCTGGTTCCTGTCAGAGTGGGTGGTCCCACCCCCCCCACCCCCCCCAAGGGCCTTCCACTGAGAGTAAACGCCACCGTGGGGTTTGAATTTGCTTATAATTGGCCGCAGTTGAGATGCTCAGCTTGGAGCTTGCCGCAGGGCTGAGGGGGCTGGTGGCCCGCACCTGATTCTAACAAATTCGGCTTTGCTGCCGGTTCGAAGTCCAGATGTCAGAGTTCCCTTGCAGGGGCCACTGTCACTGACAAAACAGTGCCCTCTGCCAGCCTCCCTTGGTGCCTCTTCTTAATAAGGGGCCAGCCCCTCCCAGCTGCCAGGAACCCTGAGCCTCCAGGAGCCAAGCGCCAGGCCACTTGCCTTTAATGACCAGACTCCCAGTGAGCGGGGCAGCAGCCATCATTCTTTGCACTGAGCTTGACTGTTTTCCATCCTGTCTCTGCTGCCAGATTAATCTTCCTAAAACACCACTTTCATCGTTTCACTCCTCTGATTAAAGGCCCACAGAGGTTCCTCACTGCCTTTACATAGGGCTGAGGGCCACGTGCTGGCATCTGAGGCCGCCTCTGGCTGTCACCCTCACCCAGGGGTCTCAGCTTCTTTCAGCCCCAGAGCCCCAGAGGGCTTCATCACCGTCCCTCAGTCCCCACGCCTCATGCCTTGGAGTGGGGACATCATGCAGAGAGTGCCAGCTTGGGGGTAGCCAGACCTGGGTTTGTCCCAATGACAGTGATGATAATGGAAGTGACTGGTTACTGTCAATGACCTGCCATGTCGCTACGTGAGCTAAGCACATTACATGTATTAGCTAATTTAATCTTTACAACGTAGAGTCTTAGCCCACTTTATAAGTGAAGAATCAGAGTCAGAGAACTGAGTGACTTAGCCAAAGAATGGCACAGCCGGGATCATGGCTACGAGAGCCCAGCTCACGGCCACCACTCTCTTCTGCCTCCCGAGCTTGGCCTGGCCTGCAGCAGGGACGGCTTTTCATCTGCAAAGGGTCATGGTTAGGCTGCCCCTCAAGGTCACTGTGATAAGTGAAATGATGGGTGAAAGACGTCAGGCACATGGTGTCACCTACGTCAGACCCCTCCCATCCCCCTTCCTCTTCCAGTTACTTGTCAACATGAACTCACTGTGGCCACAGCCATCTTCCTACTGAGTCATCCTTTCAGGAGATCGTACCCAGGGCCTGTAAAGTGCCAGGCGTCTCTCTACGCACCAGCAACACCAAGCTGCCTGTCTCGTCACGTGCTCCAGAAGGGGAAGACCTGCAAAAAAACAACCAAGGAGACATGGAGGGGAAATTTTCGGTTGCCCCAGAATTGGTTACGGGGACCCACAGCTGTGGACAAAGAGATGCTAAGTAACCTACTTCCTAAAGAGATGCCAAAAGGCTGGGGCCAGACACTTGCCCTACAGCACAGCGGGGTGGCAGAATCGGCCCTGCCGCCAGGAGCCACCCCGACCCCTCGCTCCTCGCTCTTCCTTGTTTATATTAAAAAAACTGGTCAAGAGGGGATGAGGATAGACATGGTGTTGGCCAGGGGGTGCCACTCCCTCTCCTGCCCCACCCCCAGAACCCAGCAAAGGAAGCCCCACGAGACTCCTGAGGTGGAGGCTGCTGCCAAGAAGAGGCTGGCACCTCGCTCCCCCGCTGGACGCTCACTGAGCTGCAGGGACCTGGTGCCAACTGCAGGCACCGGGTGGTGAGGGTGTCCTTGCGGGAGCTTGGCACACGCCCTGGAGTTGGGGAGCCTCAGTGGGAAGAAGCCTGCACCACCAGTGGGGAGAGCAGGTGCCCCCACTTCAGCTGCGGTCCACATAAGGAGCCACAGAAAGGGCAGCCGCTGGGCTCGCCAGACAGGTCCTGGGCCATGGGAGCTGCTGGGAAGGGCGGGGTTTGTTCAGCTGGATGGGCTGGGGGGGTATGGTGGCCCCCTCCTGAGGAGACGCCAGCCACAGAGGAGGCTCAGCCCCCAAATAGCCAGGCACCCGTCTCCAGGGAGATCGCAGCCGATGAAACCAGACCAGGAGCAGGCTTGCAAGGAAAGCAAGCACCCCACCCCTGACCCTTCTGCTCCAAGGCGCCCCAGAGAGAAAGGAGAGAACGTTCTTGCTCCCTTCCCCGCCTCTGGAGAGGAGCTTTGAACCGAGACTTGGAGTTCTGAACTGGCCTGGTCTGAATTTTAACAACTCAAGAGTGCCTGAAATATGTTCAGATCAGCCTGTCAGGAGGACCCAGCAGGACGGGGGGACTCAGCAGAGTGTGACGGAATGAAGCAATTAGAAAAAGTAAGATGCTTTAGGCTTGCAGCCCACGGAGTCGAGATTCCCCAATAAACTGGCTCTATAATAAATGATGAAGATCATTTCAGACCGTGTTAAGTACTGTGCAGGCAATAAAATGAAGCTGTGATAGCTGGCGATAGGCGGGGTGAGTGGGTTGAGTGGGCAGGAAGAACTCTGAAGAGTGACATGGGAGCGAAGGTCTGACAGCCCCGTGGCTTCTGGGGGACGAGCCCTTCAGCAGCAAGGACAGCAAGTGCAAAGGCCAGAGGTACGAGCAAGCTTGCAGAGTCCAGGAACGTCAGGCCAGTGATGATGTCTGGTGTGTGCCAGGAAACGCAGGAGGAGGTGAGGGCGGCAGGGGCCATCCTGGAAGGGATTTGGAGTCCATTGCAAAGGCGACAGGAAGCCAGTGGAGGATTGACATCATAGCTTTCGTAAGTCCTCGGTGCCCAGCACGGGTTTGGGGAATGTGGTAAATGGTTATGAATTACGTCACTTCCCTGGAAACCCCATCCTCTGAGCAAACATTTACAAACGCGCGTCATGTCTGCAGATCGACTCAGCATGTGCTGAGCACCTACCAGTGCTGGTCCCCATTCTAGGAACTGGGGACTTGTTGGTGAGTAAGTCACAATTCTCTCCCCTCAGAGCTTATGTTCTAGCAGAGAGAGAGAGGGGTTCAGTTACACAGGGCAATGACTGACAGATGGCAGTATTGCAGGGAGCACAGAGGGCATGCCAGGGAGGGCGATGGGAATGTGACAAGGAGCTCAGGAAAGACCTCCCTGAGAAGGTGACATTTAAGCAAGATTTGAGAGAGGGTAGAGCAATTGGCACCCCCTGGATATGCTTGGTTCATTGGCCCCTCAGAGGTGGGCGTGGCCATGATGGCCCGTCTTCTACTTCCTTTCCCTGGTGCCCAGCACTGGGACTTGGAAGATGGATACGGGATCTGTATATGGACTTTCGGGGGTTATGGAGCTGGATGGGGCTCAGGCCCTGCGCTAGAATCACCTACAATCCATACAAGAGAAAGCTGAGCCAAGCTTGACTTCAACACCCCAATGGAGCCAGAAAGCACCCCAGCCAGGATCTCCCACTTGCGGGTAGGGCACGGGAGCCGATGGCTTCTCTTACGGTCTCCTCTGGGGTGGAGGAGGGAGCTTTTGTTCACTACCCGCCACAGTTTCTTCCTTCTGAGAGGAGTGGTCGCTCCCTGGCTCTGTGAGGCTGACTCTCCTGCAGTCTCTGGTTGCCCTGCTGACACCACTTGGGTTCACCCACCAGGAGGGCAGGGAAGCCAGGCGACTGGGGGCAGGGCAGAGGACACAGCAGGCCAGTCACATTCCCAGAGTGGGTGTTCAGAAAGCTAAACCTGTCCTCCGATTTAAACATGAGGCCTCCGTGACACTGAGGCCCTTCCCTTTGTTGGCGTCCACTTTCAGGCGTGGGTGGTGTGGGAGGCAGGCCTGGAGGGTGTCCCCGTACCCAGTGGTCCATCATGACCCTGTTTCTGCCATGAGAGCCAGCCCTGGGGATTCCCGTGGCTGGGAAGGTGCGTTGGTTAGACCGTCTTCTGTCAGAAGGCAACCTGCTTCAGTGTCTGTGATAAAATACATTCATCTTGGTGCTAAAATGTTGTGTTCTGAAAAAATGGAATATTGAAAATGAAAAATTTCCTGTCCCAAACTGGGGCGGCAATCAGCAGATTCTGCTGAGCCCAGGACGGGAACCCAGATCTGTTGGAGGACTTCTGCCCGTCCTGGAGATGCAGAGGAAAACCTTTGGTTTCGCACCTGCGGGCTCTATTCCTGTGTCCATCCCTGTGCAGGGGCCCTGCGGCTCCCAGGGATGACTGAGGCTTTACCCTTGAGAAGATCAAGTCTGGTGGGCTGGGAGGGTTTCCAGATACCTTGCAGGAAAGTACCTGACGCTAACCAGGGAAGGGCATTCCAGACAAAGGAAACAGCACATGCAAAGGCCCTGAGGCATGAAGTGGGGGCCCTCTTGGAGAACTAGGAGTGCCATGTAGGGTGAGCGGCAGGGGTGTGCCCCGCAGGTGAGAGGATGGAGAGAAGGATGAGGCAAAAGCATGGAGCCTTTTGTACACACAGCAGAGGAGCTGGACTCTTTCCAGAAAGGAATGGGAACCAATGAAGGGTTTTCACAGAAGTTATTCACCTGAATTTCTTCTAGAAAGCTCAGCCTGGGGGGAATGGAGGATGGAGTGGGAGAGGACGTGCCTGGAGGTAAGGAGGCCAGTTCTGCAGCTGATGGGCTGAGGTGGATGGAGACAGGCTTTATTCATCTCCAGCACATGAGCAAAACCTTGGGAAACGCTGTATTTTCAGCCCAACGTAGAGTTGTCTTCCTCTTCTTTCCTTGGAACATCAATTGATTTTTTATTTTTAATGAGTTATCCTTTACTTACTTTACAGACAGAGAAAACAAAGACAGGGCGACTTCTTTGGGTTGCAAATTGTTAGTGATGGAGCCAGGATTGAGAGCTCGGACTTGCCAGCCCTCTGTGGGTTTTATGGCATTTATGTATACACGGCCCCATTCACTCTTCCTCCCTGCCAGTA